CAGGGAAAACCAAGGTGTGGGGTCCTGAATGCTCAGGCTTTGGGTGACTGTGTCAGTGTGGTCAGTTACACATCAGCTATGTTCCCAGTGGTATTGCTAGAGCCAAACTTACTTCCTCTTCTGCTTAGCACTCTGCCAGGGCCCCAGAAATATAGTGTACCTATTTTTTGAGTCCCTTCTGTACAGTTGCAATTCTCTTCTTCACACTGTCCTGCTTCACACACTTCCTTGCCTTTCAAAACTCAACCTCCACTCCTCTTTGAAGCCTTTTTGGCTCCCCAGGTAGGATGCCTCCAGTGACACTGCCTCTGCAAGGATTCAACTTCAATCCAGGCCAACAGCCACTGTAGTGAAGTTATTGATTTGTAACAAGCATTCTGACTTCAGATATATTAAAATGTTTTAAAAGAGGGGGAAAACAGACAGAGGATGAAGAATATAGCTTTCCTTAGGTCGTGGGGATAATGGAGAACAGTGGTCCTCTGGTCCCAGTCCCCCTCCCAGAACAGCAAAGAGTATACTTGGAAGACTCTGGAGATCAGGAATAAAGAAATTTGGGTGACTTTCTCCTTCAATAGCTTCATTTAGTCCCCAAGGCTGATTTTGAGTACTAACCATGTGAAAGGGAGGTGTGTGTGCAAGGGGGTGCCTCTCAACCAGGGAGCTGGTGCCTCTTCCATACAACGTGCCAATCACTAGTATTGTCCATGGCACTCTACACTGAGTATCTGTCTCTATCCTCATTGCAAGCTAAAAGCTGAAAGCTTAAATCCCATCAGGAGAGGCCTGGCTAGGTGAAAAGTAGCATATTTGTCTGACGACATATGTACAGCATTTGAAAGGGATGCACAAGACCTCTGTTTACTAACATGGATGGAGCTGGAGAAAATTGGTGTAAGAACTAAGCCAGTGAATAACAAGTACAGCATGATTGAATCTTTTCTTTTTTGGCAGTGTTGGGATTTGAACTTAGGGTTTCATGCTTGCTAAGCAGATGACTGCATTTTTTTAAAGGACATTGAAAAATCATTTTTACCCAATGGGTATGTTTGTGTGTATGCAAAACCATTTTCTATAAATTTGAAAGAACAATGCAGAGTGAGACCAAACCTCATTTGTCTCTCTTTCATCAGGGGCCAACCCAAAGCCTCATGCAGCATCATAGGTGCTTGCTTAGTAAATGAGTTCTGTGTGGGAAATCAGTATCAGCACCTAATGAGGCCTGATTCTGAAGTGATGGACCCAGGAGTTTCCCAAGGGTCTCGCTCCTATGCCATTTCACCCTCCTCTTTCTCTGTATGCTCAGTTAAGCCCAGAGCCCACAGCTCCATTCTAGTTATGGCAACCATGGGTCTGCCCACTCCAGGTCCAGAGCCAGACTCCATTCCAACTCTGCTGCTCCTGGAGACTGGGCCCTGAGTAACTTGGTGGGGCTGCCTCCTTCAGCCCTGGTCCCACCGTGTTAAAGGATGCTCATGCATGCGTGTGTGTGTGTGTGTGTGTGTGTGTGTGTGTGTGTGTGTGTGTGTGCTGGGGAGTGGATTGCTTCTTAAAAATTAGAGTTGGTGCAAAAGAAAAAGTTAACCAGGTCCCAGACTTGGATCATCTGTTTTCAAATGATAGGGAGCATTGGGTACTCACAGGCCTGATGCCAGGTTGAGGGTTGGGAAAAGAAATAAACAAGGGTTTTAGAAAGGCACTCCATGCTGGACTACCAGCTTTCTGAGGGTACAAACCTTTAAGACCCTTTCTTAGTTGGGAATGCTGTAATATATACCCAGATCCAGTGGCTTACAAAATGGGCATTTATTTCTCATAATTCTGGAGGCTAGAAAGTCCAAGATCTAGGTGCTGGCAGATTTGCATCTTAATGAGGTGAGGGTTCTCTTCCTGGCCTGGAAACTGTTATCTTCTTGCTGTGTCCTCACAAACTCTGGTCTCTCCCTCCACCCCAGTACTGGGGATTGAACTCATTCCTTGCTATGTCATGCTCTACCATTTGAGCTCTTGAGCTAACTTTGGCTGGACTGTCTTTGAACTGAGATCTTCCTCCCTCCACCTCCTGAGTAGCCGGGGTCACAGGCGTGCACCACACCTGGGCATATTTTTTCTCTTTCTTATGAGGACACTAGTGTGCCATCAGGGAAGTTCCCCCTCAGTATCCCATCTAATCACCTCCCAAAGGTCCTACAATAGAGGTAGAGTTTCGATCTATGAATTCTGTGAGGACACAAACATTTAGTCCACAACCTTCTGTCTCTGATCTCCCCAAATTCATATACTTCTTTCATGAAAAATATATTCATTTCATACCAATAGGCCCCGAAGTTTTAACTCAATTTAGTATTAACTCTTAAATCTAATGTCTAATTTAAATAACATCTAAGTCAAATATGGGTGAGAGTCTGAGACAATTACCTCTTCAGTTATGAACTTGTGAAACTACAGCTATGTGCTTCCCAAATACAATGGTGGGACAGGCAGAGGATACAGACTCTCATCCAAGAGGGAGAAACTGGAAGGAGGAAAGGGGTGATGGGTTCCAAGCAAGTCCAAAATGTAGCAAGGCAAGTGCCATTGAACTGAGGAATCAGCCCTGATGATCTTTGAACCACTTTTGGTTATTCCTCTTCTATCTGGAGGAACAGTACATGTTTACAGCTGCATAGCAATATGGTTCTGTCCTGTAGGATTTAAGATGTTCACATTCTTCCCTCCTTCTGTTGTGTGTCCCTTCCCTTCAGTTCAAACTGGCAGTGTTGCTGCTGGGGAGACCAATTGCTGCCTAAGGTCACACCCACAGTAATCATATCAACTGGCTGTTTACAGGCTGGGTGTGGTGGCTCATGCCTGTCATCCTAACTTCGCAGGAAGCATACAAAGAAGGATCGTGGTCCAGGCCAGATTGGGCATAAACGTGAGATCCTATTTAAAAAATAACTAAAGCAAAAATGCATGGAGGTGTGGCTCAAGTGCTAGAGCACCTGCCTAGCAAACATGATGCTCTGAGTTCAAACTCCACTATCGCTCCGCGCCCCCCCACCCAAATCATATGGCTATTTACCACACCTTGCTGTTCTTTTCCAAACATACTTTTTTATTTTTTGCAATATGGACAGGCTGAGAGTTTTCCAAATCTTTTCCTTTTTGTTTACTAATTCTTCAAATCTTCGCCCCCCCCTTTCTACTATAAGCAGTCAGCCTTTCCTTCAACACTTTGCTTAGAAATTTCCTCAGCTAAATATCCAAATGCATCAGTTGCAAATTGTTCCATCTACAAAACACTAGAACATAAACACAATTCAGCCTGACTCTTTGCCATCTTATAAGAATTCTCTTTTCTCTTTTCTCCACCGCCCAATAACGTACTCCTCATTTCTCTGAGACCTCACCAGAACAGTCCTTAACATCCATACTTCCATTGTGTACCTCAGAAGTCCTCCAGCCTCTACCCATCACTCAGTTCCAAAACACTTTCACAATTGTAGGTAGTCATTACAGTAGCTCACTTCTGGGTACCAATTTCTGTCTAGTCAGCTTGGGCTACTATAAAAAAATACCATACATTGGATGACTTAAACTAGTCATTTCCTTCTCATAGTTTTGAAGGTTGGAGAGTGCAAAATCAAGGTCTAGTAGGCTGTTTTTAGTGAGGGTTCTCTTCTTGGCTTGTTACATTGTGCTTGCTATGTTTTCACAGGGTAGAGTAGAGAGAGAGACCAGAGCTCTCCTTTCTTTCCCTCTTCCTATAAGGACACCAATCCCATCTTAGGGGCTCCAACTTCATGAATTCATCTAAGTCTAATTACCTTCAAAGGCCTCACCTCCAAATAACATCACACTAGAGGTTAAAGGTTCAACCTGTAAATTCTGGGGGAACACAAATATTTAGTTTATAACAGCACAATTTATAGAGGAAAGGCTTTAAAGACAGAGCATTTGTCGGTATACCTTTAACACAGACTTTCTGGATTGAAGCTCCTTTTTTTCAGGGCTGGGAATCGAACCCAGGGCTTGTGCATGCTAGATAAATGCTGTCACTGAACTGCATCCTCAGCTCTGGACTGAAGCTCTTGATCCATGTCAAGGAGGCAACAGTCATTAGGGCTGGTTTAACTCACAGGCCTCATTCAGGCAGGTACACGTTCCTTCATCATCTTTTAACGGGTAGTTCTGGACTAGCACTGGGGAAGTGCTAGGGACTCTGAGCCGAAAGACAGCTTGCCTCCACGGAGCTTAAAGCTGTGCAGTTACAAACATTTGCCTGTTAGCCGGGTTTTTCTTGTGCTATCTTGTCTGGGAAACCCTGCATTCCCTCTGTCCAGTTCCCCTGGCTGCTGGTAGGTGTGGCTCCCTTTGGAAGGTTTCCTCGCGTTCCCCTAGTCTGAGTCCTGAGCCTCTAGTGCCGCCGAATGTGACACCTACTGCCTCTGCAGGCTTGCCCCTCCGAGGCTGGCGCTCTTGTCTGCTTGTCTGTCCCCCTCTCCCCCATGAGAGGTGGGCTCGGTGCGGAGAGGTCCACCTTCTCCAACCCGACGAACTGAGGCCCCAGCGCTCATCTCCAAACCCCTACAATCACTTCTCCTTAGGATTAGGCTGTTGTGGATTAGTCTGAATAAGCCGGGAGGCCCGAGGAACGCTCGGGAAATGTGGTGGGGTCCCTATAGGAGCGGGCGGGGTGCGTGCGCCCTTGGGAGCGGCAGTCTGGTTATTCCAGGAAAAAGAAAGAAATGTTGCAGAGGAGGCGGCCACCCGGCGGGGATCGGTTGTCACCCGGCGGGGATCAGTTGTCACCCCGGCCGGCTTCCGGCTCTGATAACTGCAGGCCGGGTTCCCCGGGCGCCCCAAAACGGCCCAGGTTCCTCTGCGCCTCCGGCCGCACCCAGCCAGCCCCGCGAGCGAGCGGAGAGGTGCGGGGCAGTGGGACCGTCCCCACCGCGATCCCGCGCCGCCCCGCTCCGGTCTCCCCCCTCCCCCGCCCCCACGCCCCCCGCGCTTACTCTGCAGACAGCGGACCGCGGCCAGGCAGAGCGCGAAGAGCCCCAGGGAGATGGCGCGGGTCTTACTGCTCCCGCACCACACAGGCCTCATGAGCGCGCGGGTCGGAGGGCCAGGCGTGGGCCGCCCGGTGAGGGCTCGCGTCCGCCGCCGCTCCCGCTCCACCTCCCGCAGGTTCTCCAGGGCAGGCGCAGAGCGCAGAGGAGCTGCTGGTACTTTTGCTGCACGAGTTCCTGACGTGGGGCGGAGGGGGGGTAGGGGGGGAAGACAGGAGAGGGAGGGGAAGAGAGGACTGGATAGGAGAGAGAAGAGAAGAGAGAGAGAAGAGAGAGGACAGAGAAGAGAGAGAGAGAGAGAGAGAGAGAGAGAGAGAGAGAGAGAGAGAGAGTGAGAATGGGAAGGAGGCTTGTGAGTGTAAGGCTGAGTGGTAAATACCGAATGGAATGGGAAGGCACACACTCAGATAAATACTGGCAAACAATTAGCAATCTCTTGACGTCTACACCCACTTTACCAGTATCCATTCAAGATCCGATACCAGGGTGGCAGGAGGGAGGGAATACTAGATGTGACCTGAGGACTGAAAGTGATGGCTCCGTGGTCAAAGGGAAGGCTTTTAGGAAAATGAAATGAAGCTTGGGATGAGAGGAGCGAGGGAGACAGAAAGACTCAGGCTGCTTTGGGTGGACCACTGGACAGTGATAATATTTATCCTCCACCTACCCAGGAAATGCTCACTGGACGCTGCTTATTTGCACAGGGCCTGGCACATGTGGTCACTCTACTCACTCATAGGACATTGATGAAATAAAGTTGGGGACCGTGCTAAGCACTAGCAATATAACAAGACATTTGGGAAGCTGGGCTTGGTGGTGGTGGGCTTCTATAGTCCTAGCACTCTATAATCCTAGAAGAGGACCTATAATTCTAGAAGGGGAATGCAGGAAGATGGATGTGGGCACTTCTATAGAAATTCTAGCAAGGCTGGAGGGGTGAGTGTTGACCAACTGCAGTTCACTATATATGCTACTGTGGCAGTGAAGACCCAGGCTGCTATGGGGTGTCAACAAGAGTATGTATGTATAAAGTGGGGAGAGAAAGGACAGGACACAAGTATTGTGTGGTGTTTCTTCTCCATTTGGTCAAAAGTAGATAGATTTCCTAGCCTCCCTTGTTTGTAGGGGTGTAGCAGTGCCAATCAGTGCTGGCCAGTGATATTTAAGGTGAAATCTTCTTGGGGTGTTTCTGGAAAAGGTTTTGCTGATAAAAAGGACAGATAAGGCTGGGAGTGCCCCTACCTTGAAGACAGTCCTTCTCTTTCTATCTGTGGCACCTGTCTTGCTTCCATAAAGTTACATGGGTGAGGACAAATTTTTCATGCTAAGTAAGGATGGTGAAGTAGAAAGATGGAGAGAACTATGAGACCGTGATACTGCAACACACTTTCCTGCATCCTTCTGGTTCCTAATGGACACTCCTTGTTAGTCCCCGGTGAGGTCAACAACAGCAGCACCCTGCTGACTGCCCTAGAGTAGGAGTGTCACCCAGGCTAACTGCTAAAAAGTACCCTCTTCACCAGCCTAAGTGTTTGGCTTAGGGATGGGAAAATAAGGCCACCAATAGTGATGATATGAGTCACTACTGGGATTGCTAAAAGCTGGGATACGTCTATACCACCCTGAACACGCCCAATCTCCTCTAAAAGCTGGGGTACTAGTTAGGCCATGCCTAGCATGTGGAGAGGGTCTGAATTGAGAATGAAGCTGAACTAGCATGGCACATGCTAGCAATTGAAGCACTCTGGAGGCTGAGGGAGGAGGATTCTGAGTTTATGGCCAGCCTGGGTTAATAGTGAGACCCTGTTTCAAAAAAAAACAAAAAACAAACAAAAAAAAAAAAAAAGGGAAAAAGAATGAAGCCAAGATGAGGCAAACTGAGCTGGGAACCAGGAGAGAGATACAGTCCGAATTACATGGTTTTCATACTGGGATTTGGATCCCTACGTCTACCAGTTGTTAGCAGATAATCGTTTTTGCTTGAGCAAATTTAAGTTAGAGTTCTATGATATAAAAATGATGTTGGTCAACCACTACAAAGTTACACTGAGATAGGAAGAATAAAATTAACAAGTTTATTGCATCGCTGAGTCACTCTGCCAGTTCTGTCTCTCACTTACATTTCTCAGACTTTATTCTTTCTTATTTATACATTCATTTAACAAATAGTCATTAGTGACTATTAGGACCAGGTGCCAGGTAAATGGCTGTGAGCAAAACAGGCAATTTACTCTGTCCCCCTCTCAGAAGTAAGAGCCTGGTGCCTAGAAGCCTTTCTAAATTTGGGATAGCCTGTATCTACTAGTTTGTGAATTCCTTGGGACCATGTGTTATTCATCATTAAAGCTAGCACATTGCCTGGTACAAGGACACACTGGATAAATGTTTGGTGAATAAACAAAAGTGCAAGTGATTTCTGAAGTCTTTTACATGGAATAAAGAAAATAGAGAAATGTCAAGAAAACCACTTATTATAGTCAGGGACATTCTGAATTTTTAACTTTTCTTCTTTTTTGCAGTGCTGGGTCTCAAACTCAGAGCCTCGTGTATGCTAAGCAAGCACTCTGCCATTGAGGTACACCTTAAGAGCCTATATTTTCTTTAAAAAAATTGATTGGATTCAAATTAAAAAATCACTTGAAGGTGAGCATGGGTGCCGAGGCAGGAGGATTGAAAGTGTCAGGTCAGCCTGGGCTACACAATGAGACCCTGTCTTCAAAAGAGAAAGACAGAGTGACAGAGAGAAAGGGAGGGAAAGAGAGAGAGAGAGAGAGGAAGAGAAGAGAAGAAAAATTACTGTCACCAACTAGCTCCTTGGCCATGGAGGAGTGACATCAACTCTCTGGACCCCTGAAGGGCTTGGGCTGTACCAGAAGTCGTCACTTCTGGCTATCTATTAGGAAAAAACACCACAGTCTGGATGCTATTACATTTGAAAGCATCAGATTTTCTGGGAGTGGGACTGAAGCATCAGTGTTTTAGAGAGCTCCCTGAGATTCCAGTGTGACATATTCCCTGGGTGGAAAGGCTCTGCTCCAGACTGAAGGCTTATCATGGCCAGGTGCAATGGCTATTAGATAAAGCTTATCGTGTCTTTTTTGAATGTAGATTTCATAGAGGGGAGGGAGGGAGGCAGCATGAGTCTGTTTAAGACATGATTCTGTTCACATTTCACTCATTCATTCAACAAATATGAATTGCCTACAAGATCCAGGCATGGCATCAGTTTGATTGAAGCACAGGGCAACAAGGGGGGAGGAGAAACTAGAAAAGTAGATTGGGACTAAGATCTGTAAACTGAGTACTCTGAGGATGCTTGCCATCCTTAAAAGGCTGCAACTCAAGATTCATGGGTTATGAAATATAGCTGCCCCTTGCAGTCTTTGACATACATGCTAGCCCTTGGGTACTCGTTGGCTATTCTCACAAGTCAGCCACTCAGGGAGAAAACAATCTGTGTTTATTTTCTCAAAATCAGAAGAAAATGATGTGTGCCTAAAGCAACTTAGCTTTGTGACTGTTCCATATATATATATGGTTTTGTTGGGGTTTTTTTTGTGATACTGAGGCTTGAACTCAGGGCCTTCACCTTGAGCCACTCTGCCAGCCTTTTTTGTGATGGATGTTTTCGAGATAAGGTCTCATGATCTATATGCCTGGGCTGGCTTCGGACTGTGATCCTTCTGATATCTACCTCCTGAATATCTAGGATTACAGGTGTGAGCCCCCGGCACCTGGCTCCCTCCATGCATTTTTCATTTTTGAGAACAGTCACGATTTTAAATGTTTTTCCATTGTTCCTACAAGTACCTATGAATTTGTGAGACTATATATTTTGGTATTTTGCAAAATTAATCACCATTTTCAGAGGCTTGCAAACTCTTGCTTCTTTTGTCTTTCTGAAAGATATACTTGTTCAGTTATGGGATGTATATCATGGTGACAGTCAGGTGAGTGAACTGGGAGAGGATTGTGTTGAGTGCTACAATACGGAAGACCAATAAGAACTTTTATTAAGGTTGGTTCCTTTGATCTGGGCTTTATGCTGCGACATAGTGATCAAGAGTCTGTAAGGTGAGTTGCTTCGTCTTCCCAATGTCACCGTGGGACCACATGGAGACCAAGCCTATTAAAGGGAAAAACGAGTAAGGTAGTATCCTCCTTTGAACGCTAATTGTTCAAACTGCCTGTACTATGCAGGCTGTTTTTCGCCTTTATAACCAGAGTGGTGATTGATGCACACAAGCCTTAGTTCCTTGTTAGACTTCAGGAACCTAAAGGAGTTTTAACATAGGGCATTTGAAGTATTCCTGAACCAATAGCCAGCTATGGCACTATTAGCTTTGTGACCTTGAGAAAATTGCTTCACCTCTCTAAACTTGAGCTACTTGGTCTGTGAGTTGGGTAGTACTGTGTTATTTTACAAGGTTCTTGTGAAGATGAGAGTAGATTGCTAACTATGGAGACCGTCCTATTTTTTTTTTTTTGCCAGCACTGGGGTTTGAACTCAGAGCCTTATACTTGTTAGGCAGGCCCTCTTGCCGATTGAGCCACTCCACCAGCCCTTTTTTTGTGATAGGGTCTCACAAACTATTTGCCAGGCTGGCTTTGAACCTTGATCCTCCTGATCTCTGCCTCCTCAGTAGCTAGGATTAAAGGCATGAGCTATCAGAACCCAGCGAGAGTGTCTTACGTATAATAACTTATTTAATCATTTAATCCAATAGGAAGACACTACTATTATATCAATTTTAAGATGAGAAGATTGAGGCTTAGAGTTCCTAAGTGGCCGAAGTTTACTTGAACCCAGCTGCTTGTCTTAGGAGGCTGTGCTCGTCACTGCCATTCCACTTCTCCTTGCTGTTAAATGAGATAGTATGTGAGATGTCCAGCACAGTGTCCAGCCCAGAACAGCACAATAAATATAGGTTTTCTCCCTCCTTTGAAACAAAATCACAGAGCAAGATGTCAAATATCACACCATTTACCTACAACTTGGGAACCATACAGGAAAATTTGCAGTAGGTGAAATCAATG